TTGGTCTGGGACCAGTCAGGGAGCCCAGTGCTCACAATGGTAGTGCTGATTTAGTTTCCGAGATACCTCTACCGGAGGTGGAACAAAGCACAACCATGTTTGTTACATTCTCCAAGGTCTCCCATTGAGGAAATGGATTCTTGTATAAAAATATTTTACTGCAAAGCTGGAAAGCCAGGCCGCATGGGAGATGATACACCTGAACTCATGTAAACTTTGGCTGGGATAGTCCCAGGACCACCAACCAGGGTTTGCTAGAAAGGTTTGACTATCTATAAATATGTATAGTCACATCTTAAGTTAGCCAACGTTAGCAACGTAATCTACATTAAACTAGCTAGCTCCTTACAACTGATAGCTAATGTAATATGTGACTGATAGATTAGCCTAGCATATCGAAGTACAGGAAAGGAGGAAGTTGACCAAGGTTCAAAAAGGGGCGTGGCTTTGGAAGGGTCAATTGCACAAAGTGTTGTTTAGTGTAAAAGTTTATCTTTAGAAACTGTTTTAACCAGTAATCATTAACCCAAGGTCCACTTACTTTACGTTATGTTACATTTAGCACAGATTTTTATCGCAACATGGTGGTCTTCTTCAGAAGACACACAAAATACAACCGTTACTGTGACGGGATGATGGATGGTAAATGGACCTGTACTTGTACAGCCTTTCTAGTCTTCCGACCACTCAAAGCGTTTTTACACTAGGTGCCACATTCACCCTTTCACACACATTCACTCAGTGAGGGCAAACTCCATCGAACAGAAACTACCTCATTCATGCACATTCACACAGCATCAGGGGTTCAGTATCTTGCTCAAGGATACAGCAGTTGGAGGCAACGACTAACAAAAGTCCATTGGCTAAGGAAGATTGTGAGATATGGTTGAAAACTCTGAAAATAGCAGGCAAGTAGACCATGAGTTCATTTATTTTCATCAAATCAAAGTAACTTTTTTACATTACTGCAGACCATCAGTGTTTAGACTGATTACCTTCCTTTTAAACATTTTAAACACATCTTCCAGACATGTGAAAATGAGTATATTTGCATCAGAGATAATCCTTCACAGTGAAAATGACTCCAGACAGGGCTGGACGATGTCTACAGCACATTGTGTTAATCAAATTATTGCGGCATTCTAAAAATGTTTATTTCTTTAGCTGAAGGATGTGGTAATATCAGTCCATATCTATATAGGAGAGCGTGTAAAATTTGTGTCATAATGACAATAATTCCTTGAAAGTGGTGCAGCGCTTATGTTGATGTTCTTGGTCTAAAAATAAGGTGTTTCACAGTTTAGTGGCCCCCAACTCTATGTCAGCATTATCATCGTATCATGAGCAGAAATTGGTGAGTGTCCAAGGATTCCTTGGTCTTTGACATTTGTGAGTCAGTTACTGATTAAAACAGTTTTAATGCAAGAAACTTTATAAACTTTATTATCAAATTTCCGATCGTCCTGACGTATTGTTTGTGTTCTGGCTTTGATTTTCTGTTCTGACATATCTCATCAATTCAAAGCTTACTGTCCATTCTTAGATGTCCGAGCCTCACTGAACTCAACATCAAGGGCTTCTTCACCACACGATAACTGATAGGTGAGTGAATATTTGCTGGGATTTAAATTTTTTGCCGCTTTTAATTGATCTGCCGTTGCCTTTTTACTTCAAAGAGAGACAGTACTGATATTTTCTAACAGCTGAATATTCTGACATTAACGTCAAGACTTTTTACTATTATTATTATCTGTCTTGAAGCGGTTGGGATTCTTTAATAACTTGTTTTTTGCATTAAGAAGGTCAGAAATCAGAATCAATACAAAACCATATGTTTTGGAACATGGTCAGCAGTAATATAAAGTGTGCCACCAGTACGGTTTCAATATAGATGAGTTTTGGGAACAGCTGCAAGATGACAGTGAGTCTCCGTTACACATTCAAGCTTGAGTACCTTTTCCAAATCTAAAAAAGATCACATTCATTTGCCAGACATTTTCAAACTTAACCAAACCCGCACAGCAACACATTTAAGCAACGTGGGCTGTCAACTCTGTCAGCTGTTGGAGTTGCAGGGTTTTGTTTTGTTTGCAGGTATTTTTGTCCTGGCCGCAGTCTCTTATTGCTGTTGCTGGCTGTGTTGCTAACTTCCCCTGCCTGTTGCCCGTGTATTATACTGTTAACATTTGACCTCTGCACTTGTTTGGTTTCTCATTCTGCAGTTTCAGGCCGAGTGCCCAGAGAGAGGAAGCAGCCACAGAATAAAAAAGTATTCTTGACCAATGACAAACACTAGGTAAAAAGTAAAACAGGAAACACCAGATTCCCTTTACAGTCGGATATTTATAGACAATCTGTGAAGAAACACTCCCACAGACTGTGGTCGCACTGGAAAGTCTGTAACAGTGAATTAATGTAAAGCAAAGTGGCTCAACGTTCACCCAAATTACCACAAAAATAAACACTCTTCCATTGAGGTATCTAGCCATGCACATGGTTTTTATTTGTCCACAGTTTTTGAGAGACACAAGGGTTGAGCAAGTACTCGGCAGAAACTAGAACCCGGTACAGGGAATCTACTTTTCACGAGTACCAAAGAGTAAAATGTGTTGTTATATAGTTGTAAATATACGAACGAATAGTTATTTTACTTTAACGTTTCTTGTGATAAAAAACATTTCTCTCAAGTTTTCTAATAAATATAGCAACTTATGATCAACGCGTATCAATTTCAGGCTGGTTGAACAGATACAAATAATAGTGTACTAGCTCATCCCTACAGTCCAGTAACCTGTTAAGTGTTTGCATTCACACTATTTACAACTGAAGAAATAGTCCTTCTAAATATTGCTTCAGCGTAAAAACAATCTGAACTGCATGGCTAGAAACTTGCTAAAGCAGCGGTTCCGAAACAGTATAACCATATCGTTGTGTCCCCAAAATACAAAACAAATAAGTTGATCATTTACATGTTACATCAGTGTTACAAGTTAAAGGTTAGAACTGAGATTTAAAACATTGATGTAGCAGCGAACAGCTATTCTCTATATAAAGATACAGTCACATGGTGTCTCTCTC